TTATTGGAAGACAGTTCTAATAATCTTAAGAGACTTTCTTATAGGAAGATAGTTCTAATAACTTAAGAAACTTACTTATTGGAAGACAGTTCTAATAACCTTAAGAAACTTACTTATTGGAAGACAGTTCTAATAATCTGAAGAAACTTTCTTATAGGAAGATAGTTCTAATAACTTAAGAAACTTACTTATAGGAAGACAGTTCTAATAATCCATCTTGTTATTAGAACTGTCTTTCTATAAGAAAGTTTCTTAATATAGCTGTGAGGAAAAACGAAATATCGCACTAGAAGCTTTTAAAGAAACGAACAGTTAATGTTGAAAGTAGCTAAAAAAAATTTTTTCATTATCCTTTAAGAATTTCAATTTCTATTTTTGCTCTATTCAACTTTTCTCTATTTATTCCCTGCTATCCTTTTGCTCTAAAATCAACAATAACAGTATAGATTTTAGTACTACTTCGATATCGGATATTAGATTATCCAATTTATTTTTGTTTAAATTAATTTTCTTATCCCAAAATATGAAACTTCTTTTGGTACTTTCTCAATTTATCTTAATTCATCGATAAATATTTCACCTAAAATCAATTCTATCATTTTTTTTTTTTTGCTATGCAATGAAATATATAAATTTAATTTTATAGGAGAGAAAATATTGATTAACTTACCGAAATCGTAAATGTTTCTTTCATTGTATTCTTTCTTGTTGTTGCAATTTCTACGGCATATCTCAGATTATTTTCTTCAACAATTTCTGTATAACTTTTTTCCTAGCCTATTCAAATTTTTGTATCATATTTCATTTCTCTTTCTAATTCTCTTAAAAAATGATCGATATTTGGAGATATCAGAGATTTTATAAGTATCAGTTGCTGTTTTACTTCATAAAAAATTTTACACGAATAACTTAGACATGAAAGAATTTTTATTTTAATGCTATCTAATGATGATATTTTAAGCCTCCCAAATTTAAACGCTTAAATTTGGATTATAAAAGCGAAGATAGCAAAAGCAAAAATAAGATTTGATGATGAAGTTAATCTTATCATAGATGTATTTTTACACTTGAAAAGTAATATTATATAAGGAGTGATAAATTTTATGATAAGATTAGCGATATCTCCAAATATCGGTCATTTTTTAAGAGAATTAGAAAGAGAAATGAAATATGATACAAAAATTTGAAGAGGCTAGGAAAAAAGTTATACAGAAATTGTTGAAAAAAATAATAATTATATGAAAGTGTAATGTGAAAGAAATTTTCGACATTCGTTAAATATGTTTCTTAAATAATTTAGGATTTTCGGAATTATCTGAATGACAAATGTAGTAATGAAATGAATTTTTGTTTTATCAATATTTTCTATCTTTGTAAAATCGATCTAAGATAATTTTGAAATTAAGTTGAGAAATGAACAAAAGCTATTTTAGAATATTTTATATTATAGAATAAAGCTGAAAAATTGTCAAGTAATTCAGAATAGTTTCATTTTTAAATTTTCTCCTCCTATTTTATATATTACTGATGAAAATAGTTTCTAAACATAATTCACTTATAATTTTATAATCCCAATATATATCAGTTCATTTTATCATTCAGTAAATCTCATCGAATAAACTTCCGATTGCTAGCTAGGCTTTCATATCTGAATATTAATAAATAATGAATAAGGATAAGTTAAAACTTGTCCATTTTTGGCATCTAAAACAGTAAGCTTTCATTTTTATCTTTTGTTTGAGAAATAAATTTAATTTAGCCGATTAATTCTCATTTGATAAGCTATTTGATAACTATTTCACCCTTTCAGAATGTAATAATTCAAGCAAATATACAATTATATTTTATTGCGTTTGCTTAGCAGCGAATAAATATTTTCACTGACTCAATAAAAATATTTTAACAGCTTTAGCAATAATTATATTATTTATTATAATCTAAAGGTAGCTGCAATAAAATTCCAATAGGTACTAAATCTCATTAACTTTAATACTTTCTCCTTTGATTGGGTCCTTAACTTTCCTAACTATTAATCGGAAAATTATTCTTTCAGGGACCAACAAATTTGGAAAAGAAAGTTTAAAAAAAAATGAAATTTTCCATTCATCGTTATCATCATTATTATCATTATTATCAACAATGCATTCAATAGTTGTAATTTAATTTCATTTGTGATTTTTATTTATATCGATGTTTAATTAATACCAATTAGATATGCATAATGAATTCAGAGTAAAAAAAAACAATTAAAAGGTGAGGTATTATTTATAAATGAACTTCTTATATGTGGTTGAATTCATTTGTACCAAACATTTGCAAAGTGGTCAACACAATGGTCATTCAGATTTATGGCAGAAATTTCTATAAAGCTTTTCTACACACACACATATATATATATATATATGATTTCTACTTAATCTAATGCAAAAATAAACTAGTTATGTAAAAATTTGGCATATGTTAGAAGCAAAAATACATATTTGGGCAGTGATAAAAATGTTATGATAAAAATGATTTGATATCATGAAAGTATCGTTATAATTGTAGTTGTCGAAATGCTACATTTCAACTATTTACCGTAATAAATGGATAATCGTGAAAGAATTTTTGGTTTGTGCTTTACAATGACGAAAGAGGAAACGCTGACATATGATATTAATCTTCCGGATTAATCTATGGCGAAGTATTATCGAACTGGTAAAAATGAGAGTTTTGAGATTTTCGTGTACTCTCATTAATTGATATGTTTTTGTTAATTTTATGAATATCATTGTTAATGTACTAATGCCTTAGGAGAGTTGTTTAACCTAGAATGGATGTAAATCTCATCGATTAAACTTCCTATTAGTAGCTAGGTCTTTATGCCTAAATATTAGTAAGTAATGAGAAAAAGATCCTAGGTAAAAGAGTAATCATTGAAAGGTTTAGGAAAATGACAAAGATAAATTGTAAGATGATAAAAAGGATAGGATGATTTAGAAGTTATCATAACTAAATTAAATGAAATAATTATAGCTTCAAAATATTTATAAATTTTCAACTTTTCAACAGCATATTGATGATTTGAAAGAATTTTCAATCTCATGATAAATGAAACATTGAAATGAAAGAAAAGAAATGAATAAATGAATGATTTAACCTTAGATCTCATAAATAAATTCACCAATTAGATTTTCGCAAACAATCAATAATTCATTTTACTAATTTTAATAGTGATAAATTAGACTGAGAAAATTCCGAATTAATAGAAATACTATATTTAAGGCATAATTTTTCGATAGGTAGCTGAAAAACTTTCTGTTCCACTATTGGTTTCAGCACGGACCTTCATTATCATATGATTAAAATCCAGAATCTCGAATCGTCGTTCAAACTATAATTGAAAATTTCAATCAAATATATTGACAAATTAAAACTTAAATAAGCATAAAACAAGAAGTTAGTCAGATAATTTTGCATTCAATCGAGTGCAATTGTCTGATTAATGAGAAAATGCACATTTGCGCATTCGAATGAGAAAAGTTATTATGATATTATGTGCAACACAAACTTATGACAAATGAGTATTTCCATGTGTTATATTTCATTATATTTTCTACGTTTACATTAATTAAATATCAATAATTTTAATATCATTGACATCAAGAATAAGTAAGAAATTGTGATATATTAAGTTGAAGGATAAATTACTGCGTTGTTGTAATTAACGCATTGCTATTAATTGAATTAAGTTAATCTCTAAAGCATGAATTAAATTCATTACCTATAAAATATTTAAAAAGCAAATTATCTTCTTTATATAAAAGAATAAAATATAAAAAGAGTTTACCTCTCGAATATCTAATTCGACACCGTTACTTCCAACTGAAAATGTTCGACGAAGAAATTGTTTCAAATGGAATGCAATTTTACGGCCTACAACTGTTCCTTGTTCCATCATCGAATAACCTAAAAGATATATTTTATATAAAAATTTATAAATATTTTTTTTTAATTTAAATTCTTCAAATCTTAAAAAGCTTAATTGAATTATGGCTAATTTTTATTGCTGTCAATTAGTCGCTGCTAATCAAATAATACCATAAACAGCTAAAATAAGCTTAGTCAGATATGATTGAAAAATTTCGCTTTTTTAATGATTTATCATTGGTGAGATTCTGTAGCATTTGTATACCTTCACTACTAGTAGTTAAATATGCGATATGTACGCGAGGATCACGTTTTGTTGCATTTTTTACTGGCATAAAACCATAATCTGATCGTATAATATTCTTCTGTGAATCAAAATAAGTATGCCTGAAATTATTGATAATAATTTCAAATATAATTTAATTTCATATATTAATTTCTATTAATATCATTTAACTTCAAATATTATTTATTTTCTCAATTTATTTATAATAAAAATAATTTATAAACATATAATAAAGTGATTATTATTATTTTTTTGTTTTTGAAAAGTTTTTCAAATATAAGACAAATGTATAAATATGATTATAAAGCTATTAGTAGGATAAAAATTGTTAGCATACGTATTCTAACATTATGCTACTTCTGTTATTCATTATTTGTTTACTTAAATTACTAATATATTATGCTAGTTCTTCTGTTATTTATTTGTTTACTTAAATTATTAACCTATTTGTTTCTGTTATTTATTTTGTTATTATTTGTTTACTTAAATTATTAACCTATTATGCTACTTCTGTTATACATTATTTGTTTACTTAAATACCATGCAAAATGCAGATATCATATTCTAATGTTTATTTCTGCATGGATACTGGAAACTAGCAAATAAGTATGCATTTTTCATATATTTTTTTCTTTTCGTGAAATAAATATTTACTGTAACAGAATAATTATTATCAATTAGATTTTTATCAGAGTAATAGTTTATTATTAATTAGATTTTTATCAGTTCGCTTAAATTATCTCTCATTGAAAATGTTTGGCGAAATTTGAATTGTAGTCATTTCAACAAAAGAAAGTTACCTATTGAGTAGTATAATAATATAATATTTATATTCTCAGATTCTGAAGATGAAAAAGAAAGATTTAAAATTCCTCAATTTTAGACTTACCGACAATTTATCATCAATGCATATGAAATTAGAGAAAACTCAAATTTAAATGATAAAATTAAAATGTCTGAAAAGATTATCGATTGACGAAAGTTGAATTTAATTATTTACGATAAATTGAATTTGATTTTACAAACATACTTATTGTTTGTAGAAGTGTATGTGATGAGTAAATCAGTTAAGTTCGAAAATTTTAATCCTTTCTTTTTAGAAATAATTTCATCTTCACAACATTCATTTTTTCACTATTGAGAGCTGACAATTTTTACATTGTAAAAAGGAATGAATGGTACTATAGGAATGGTACTATAGACTAAAAGAATGGTACTATAGAATGATACTATACGTCGGAGTAAGCTCAAGTAAATGAAAAAGGAAACTAAGAGAAAGTGGCTGTAAAGAAGGTTAGAAGTAATTAGTAATGAAAGATTAAAATTTTATTTACCAACTAAATAAGATAGGAATAACTTTCTCGTAACATCGATTAATTTCTTCAGCTCCAAGAAAATTTTTCTACAATTTCGGTTTATGAATTTACAAAAAAAAAAAATATTTCGATTATAAAAATTTTAAAACAATAAAAGAAATAAATGCAATTTATGAAATAATATTTGTATGAAATTTTTAGCCATCGTATTTTTGTTAGTTAATTATGATAGATAGCATTAATTCTTCTTATTTCTATCATAAGATTGAACTTACGTAATGTTAGCAGCACGAGCACCAAATTTTGGTATTGGATTAATTGCAATATCAATTAGATCAGGAGGACTGTATTCACGCGTTGGACCAGATTTTGTTTCCAGCTGCCAAAGCCCTATGAACTCCGTAATAGGCTTCAAATCCGGTGGTAATTTTTGCAGATCATATCCTGATATCATTTTAGATTTGCATTCATTTTGAGGATTCCTATTAATTTAATGTATTGCCAATGCAATTAATTACATTGGTATTACCTGAGAGAAAATGTTGATTTGGAAAAAGGGAACGAACAAAAAGCTATCAAGGATTATATCTATTTCGGCGATAAGAAGATGATCTTTCAGGATCCAATAATAATGTACGATGTGTATTTTAATTCACCTTAGAAGCTGTCATTCATCTTCCATAATTTTAAAATTTTCAAAAGATTTGTTAAAATCTTACGCTCTTCATAACTACCGCATACTTCTTCAACGATAAATAAAAGTGAAAGAACTGTGAGCAACAAAATTTTCATGATGCCAATATTGCGATTGAAATCTGCAAGAATCTGAAATTTAAAATAGAACGAAATATTTCAAACATATTGGATAGCTTCGAAAAATTGAACAATAAGATTGAACATTAAGAAGGATTTATTAATATTAAAATTTCGATAAAGAATCAAAGAGTTAAGAAAGGAAGTGTTTGCTAAAAATGATTTTCAAATAACTTTTTAAAATAATTCTTAATTAAATGACTTTATGATTAAATAATTTGCCTAAATGATACGTATGGGCGCCTAGATCGAAATATTTTCTATCAGGAACATATTACAAAAGATTCATTTGATCATTTGCCCGAATGACTAAATTTTAAAATTCGAAATCCATTCCAATAAGATAAGTTCATTAATTTTATATTATATTTTAGCTTCCACTCTTTTCAAACGTTTATTTCTGCAATTTCATTGCATTATAGAATTATCAAAACCAGTTTTCGAGATTCAGAATATTTTTCAAACAAATAATTGATAAATTCTTCGTGGCATCTATACGCTCTCTTTTTAGTATCATAAAACATTGTATTAATTATGAGAGAACTTAATGACAATTTAATTCTTCTACCTCGCCTATAATATGAGGTAAAAAACAAAAACTTTCTTTAAACTAATATAAATTATACAAAATGCTAAAATTAATTCATGAAAGGTAAAATAATGAGAAAATGGAAAATATTGAAAAATGGCATGATGTTGAAAACTGTGTCTCACTACACTGAATCATTTGAAAAGATTGTGTGCATGACGGGATGGAATCCGGTTTCTTTACCAAAAATTTCTCTGTTCTGTTCGAAAGATTGTTGTACGGTTACGTATGTGACAGCGAAAAGTATTATATTTGTTGTTGTTGTTGTTGTTGTTGTTGTTATTGTTGTTATTAATTGATTAACCTATAATATTAAATTTTCATAATAATAATTGTATTAATTATTAAATTAATTGAAAAAGAAAAGAAAATCTATTGAATGAGTTAATTATGTTAGAAAGATTATTTTATTTTTATCATATATTTGTTAGAAATATTTGCAAAATTTTATGAAAAATTAAAAGAATAATCAACTTTTTAAGTATTTTTAGTAATTAAAGAAATAATTCAGTACGATATAAATAACCTAAAAAAAGAATAATTATAGTTTTATAATTAATTATTTAGAGAATTGAAACAATAAATTGAAAATGGAATAATTTCAATTCTAAAATAGAATCAATAATATTTCGGCTAAATTCTTCTTACCGTATAAACAACTTAACAAATGAATTCACAAATTTTATGAATAAAAATTAGAAAAGGAAAAGTTTCAAATAAAAGCGAACTTTATTAATGTGACAATATGAACTAAGAAGTGTTGTAAACAAGCAATTAGCATTTCTTGTTCGGATCTCTTTTCTCATTCTTATTTCTATTACAACGATCAAATTATGTAATTTATTTTATCTTTAACTTTTGTAAATATACAATTTAAACCAATGATAATGATTTTGTTACGCTTACATTTCTCAATCATATCCATTTTATATTTGGATATTTTATTGATATGTGTTATATTTTATTGAGATAACTCTTCGCGTAATATTAAGATTTTCGATGATGCAAATAATATGTAAATTATGTCAAGAGGATCATCTAAATAAAATGCAAAGAGCTATGTATTACGAATATGACGATTTCATTCCAAATAGCAGACACAAAAGAGATATGATTATGTATGATGGGAACTGCGTTAAATTTTGACATCATAACTTCGTTATTTTACTTAACGCTTGATTGTTTCACTTTCTTTTCAATTAGATCGAGTTTGGAAGGATGTTTGGGTGTTTCCTTTTGCAATGATGTTTGGAATTTGTTGAAGATAAGTTTTAAATTAATTTATTCAAGATTTTCCGAGATTATTGTAGAGGATGTTGAAATTCAAGAATCCTTTCGGTAGTCCATTCGAAGTCGAAACAACGGAAACAAAAAAGGAAACTGTCGAAGAATTCAACTATGTTCCTTCAACTTATTGCCAATTAATGGATGAAATGATTGGAAAGAGAAATAGACCGTGGAATGCCGATCGTAGTCCTGTAAAACCTCTTCAGGTGGGTTTGCTCGTATTTAGCTATGTATTTCCCAAATGTTTTGTGGTTGAGAACTATCAGAAAGAAGCTGAAAGAGGATTATGATGCCTGGGCTGGAGAAATTAGGAAAATGATGTGCTAAGGGACAAATGTATCGGTTTTAGAAAATATTTGTCAATAGGAAATCATATTTACATAATATCATCCAACATGAGAACATATCAATGTTAAGTTATTGCAACGTTAAATTTTGATGTGGTTAGATATTATTTTTTGGCTAGATATTGTGTTATTGCTTAGAAAAACTTTTTTCAGGTTTTAGCTTTACCGAACATGACTCGTGAGGAGTTAATATTTTCGCGATTGATGGAGAATTGTGCTTGTAAGTCAACTATTGCAGCAATTGCTGGTTTTGGCCTGGGCGTTGTTTTCGGTTTATTTACTGCTTCTATCGATCCGCAAGCAACTATGGCTGTCGGAGCTGATCCAAGCAAAATTGTATAGCTCCTTGATTTTTATATCACTCCATGAACTTAGATTTTTCAATTGATTAGGTTTCAAGAGACTTAACTGCTAGAAGCTGCTCAAGTAGATTCCTTTGCCATCATGGTGAGCAAGCTACTTTATCTAGGAGTCTGAATGACTACAGCTGACAGTATTGTTTGTGATATGTAATAACTTGTACTTGGCTTTTATTTTGTTGGTGATTAGTTAATCTAGCAGAGTTGATTTTCGTTGTTTGCAGCCGACGTTGAAAGAAATGTGGTTAGAATCAAAGTCACGAATGCGTTCATATGGAAAGAATTTTGCTTCCATAGGATTTTTATTTACGGGCACCGAATGCTTGGTGGAAAGTTATCGAGCATGTAATGATTGGAAAAATGGTACTTTAGCCGGAGCGATTGTTGGCGGTCTGATTGGTCTTCGTGCAGGTATAAAACCAGCTATTTTAGGTGCGAGTGGTTTTGCAGCATTTTCAACTGTTATTGATTACTACATGAAGTACAGATAATGCTGATTAAAATTAGGATAGATTCATCAACATCGATTTGTGGGATTATTTTGCAGAGATCATAAGTTCTTTGTAATGAAAACTCTTATAATAGATCTAATGTATTTTAACTTTGGCTATCAGATATTACCTCAGTTTTGTGATTTGAAGATTTCAAATTCATTCCTATTCGTATGCTTTTCTACTGTATAACTTCCAAACTGTTGCTTAAAACATAAGTGAAAATTGTACTGACAAATTCTTAATTCTAAATTAAATACTTTGTTTCGAGAGTTGTTTTGTCATCCTCCACTGATGATGGAAATTTTTATTGATGTTTGAGCAGGGCATTGAAATTTCCTGCTTCTGTTCAGACACTTATGTAATATGATATATATAATTGAAATGGTTTGGCTGTTTCTGAAATGCTCATTCTATGCTTATGATTGCTCGATTTTTCTTTCCAGAATTTTGAAGGTCTGCATCCTAAAAAATTAAAATTTATTTCAAGTATGTACTTAAGTCAAATATATTTAGGTTGAACGGGTAATTTGTTTCTGTTGCTGTTTTTGTGGCTTTATTGATTTTTCCATTTTCATAAGTATGCTTCTTAATCTAATGAAACTTCTAAGTTGTTTGAAATAAAGTTTCAGAAGTTATACTATAAAATTTTGCTGTTCCGACTCTAGCTGAATAATACTGCAGTGGAAATCATTTTTTGTCCTTTTTTGATTTAAATATTTGTTATGCGTCAGGCACGAAATTTTGGTTTGAGATGATTTCACGTTTTTTCAATTGCATGCGGGCATTCTTGATCAAGAAAACTATTTTATCTGGGCGAAATTGTCCGTGGCTATCATTTTATTGTTTGCATTATGAACACTTTTTATGAAATACAAATAATAGTACTGTATGGAGCTAGAATATTTCAGCTCATTCAATATTTATTGGAGTTTAGTCGGAATTTATTTTTCGACGTGTTTTTAGATATGTCGCCAGTCTATAGTTTTTAATCCTTCAGTTGAGTTCGTTGCTTTGTTGTCTCGTCTTTAATGTACTAATCACAACCGAAATTTTTTTCAAGATGAGTGCAGGCCTACTGGTGGTAGAAGTGAGTGCAGTATTTTTCCTGACTTTGTTATTGCTGGATAAATATGGTAGCTGGCGACGACAGCATTTCATTGTAACAATCTTAACGTTTATTGGCTGGTTCTTCTCTTTCATTATTATCTTTATTCTACCGTTGGATATTGCTATCGTAAGCTCATATTACAATTTTATGCTTAAATTTGCCTTCTTAGTCACTTAAAGTTTTATTTTTTGTTTTTATAAAACTGACTCAAAGAAACAGAGTGAATGAACTTCAATTATTATGAAGATTTTATTGTATAGTCAGTTAGAGATGTTAACGAATTGTTTATCTCTATGCTTGAACTGTAGGGTCTCATTCATTAATATATGCTGCATTTCCGAGCTTTAGCTCTTCACCAATTGTGAATAAAAGTCTTGGATTTTCAGACATTTTATAATCGTTGCCTACTGGAAAAGCCGCAGTTATCAGTCGAGAAATATCTGAGTTTTGATAATATCACAGACCCAATATGCAAAAAACCGATTGGCTTTGTACCAAATCACGTTTTGCTACGATTGTGGCGTGTTGTTTATTGGACAGCACAGCTACTGACATGGTTAGTATTAGTTTTTTTATAGTGGAAAAAGAGCTATTTTAATATTGAAAATGAGAATGCATTTTCTGCATTTGTTAAAAGTTTTGCTTAACAAGTACTTCAAGCAGCTCACCGTTATTCGATATGATTGGCAGAAGTGTTACTGGCTTTTTCTTGAGTTCACTTTCCGTAATAATCTTTCTTTTAATTAGCTTAGCTCATCATCTATAACTGGACTTATTTTAATATACTTAGAGTTTTGCAGGATTGTATTACCTTTGATGCAGAGTTACTCAGATGCTGGTGATTTTTCATCACTTGGTAAGTTGCGATCTGCCATATACAACAATGTTGTATATTACGGAACCTATCTTGCTCTTTTCTTCATGTTCATGGTTTATGCTGCTATGAAAGGAGTGGCGTTAAATGCGTTAGTTTTTTGTTTTACAATTCGAAATTTCTTGATGGCTAGTTTTGCTAAAATTTGCTTTTTAAACATTCATTACTTCTTCAGTTACTGTGCTTATTTTTGTAAATGTATCTAATGGAACTCAGTATTGTTCCAGTCATATTTCTTTATGTGAATCGCAGAATACTGGTATGAAAAAATGGAGTATTTGCAGGGAATATTTGAAAGTGATTCTTATTTCTGCTTCTAACACTTGGGGCTTATTTTTATTGGTGGTTCTACTGGGCTATGGCCTAATAGAGGTTCCACGACAGTTCTGGCAAATGGGAAATCGAGGTGTCTTTTGTCACGTTTCTCTTTGTTGTATTATCATTTTAATCTTGCATATCCATGTTTCTTCTGTGTAAACTATTATTTTACTGTAAACAGTGCATATGTTTTAATTGAAATTTTAGGGGTATCGAATTTTGACGCAATGTTTATTGCTTCAAAAAATTCAAAATTTCAGATTATCGGTTGAACAAAACGTATTTTGATATAGATAAATTGTCGACTGACAAAAACGACGCCGAGGATACTGTTCGGGAGGTGTATAAGTACGTTTAGTATTTGCTACTGAAGTTTTTTAATTGCGTTGTGCACAATTCTGATCTAACTTTGCATGGAGGCGCGATGATTGAATTGGAGTGTAGTTGGCTGATTAATTTTGGCATGAGTAATGTATGGGCACAGATTATTCGAAAGTCTGTACGATTTCAATTATCTCTCAAGTGCAAGAAATTGGTTTAGTAGGACGTTTATTCCTTATTTGTTTTTACTGCACTCGAATTTGAAATTTGTAGAAAATTAAAATACAGGTCAAATGTGAGAAGAAAATGAATTTACATTCCAAACACTTCAGTGTCTGTTTATACAAGTTTGAAATAGATATATTTGGTTAGCAAAAGGTTAAGATTAAATTTCGATACTCAGGGAGGCTCGGAGCGTCTTAACACTGCTGCATAATGAGCATACATTACGAAAATACGCGCAGGTAATTGTGGCAAAATTTCCACCGGAGATGGTCTCACAAATTAGCTCGAGATCGAATGACGGTTTTTCAGCAGCCTCCAGCATCGCGCCAAACAGTAAAGGTTTCGTTGCAAACAAAAAGTATTTGGTAAGTTTTGTTTCTTTTCGGGTTTTTTAAAAAATATGTTAGCAAAATAATGAACGCTATCAAGAACTTATGATTGGCAGTCTGTCTACTTTTCATTTGCGTAGAAGATCTTGGATCATCTACATTTTATGTGATTTTGAGGTGTATTTCTGCATATCTGACCTATTATAATTTTCGCATAGCATAAGAATATGAAAGTTTTGGAACATCTAGGAAAATTGATATTTTATTAAATGCTTTTTACGCAGTATGTTTAATGTTCAGACATAAATATTTCCTTTTTTATTAGTTTTTAAAACAGATGAAGGAATTATCTATTTTTCAAACTTTTATTCACTTTCAGCATCATGAAATTTTCCTCAATTAATTATGAAAGTTTTTTTATTTTTTCAATTTTTATTTGGAATTTTGTAGATACGGTTGCATAAACGTGTTATTAGTGCCGTACAGAATCATCATAGAAGACAGGCACAATGGAATGCATTAATACTTCGGGCCTTATATCTAGAAGATGTTCAGCAAGCCGAAATGACAGGCCAGTTTATCAGGTTAAACATTAAGCATTTAAGAGGTTATTGTATCTGCGCATATGATTTTTTTCTGAAAACTTAGTTCATGTTATTTGATATTGAAAACCCAATAGTAACTATTAGTTATGCTATTTAGAGAATCATTTATTTTTCTTGGAAGGTTTTTTTGCTAGTTATATTTTGGCAATAAAAATTCCCCGAAGTCTTCGCTTTTTTCATTTCCAGAACCAAGGGACGTCAGACAAATTTTTTCCACTGTCCATCTCGCATTTGTTTTTTGTGGCATGTGTTTTATAAGAGGACTTTGATGAAGGTAAATGATTTATTTAAATAGTATAGCGATTTAACAGTTGTGTATTGTGAATGATCAACTGATTAAGGGCAGTTAGTATTTAGTCCAAAATCACTTTTTAGATTCTCGGACTTTTCTTTTACGTGATAACTGGGTTCGTAATGTGGAGTGAGTGTACGTTTTTTATTGTACATCCACGGCTTTCATTAGCAGCTCTTATTGTTCATCATGCGGCACACGGCTATCATTATCTTCATATTCAGGTATTCTTTTCTGAATGATAAATTTTATATCTAAAAGTGACTTTCAAAATAAGCTCTGGTTCATACCGATTTATGAAACAAAAAGTAGAAAATAAACGAGTCATGTAATTTCTATCTTGACTCATTTATAGTGTGATATTTTTCGGAATTCGTTCTGTCCGTTCTTTCTTTCTACCCTATCACCACACTTGGGACAACATTAGCAATGGTGAGAGGATTTTAACTGTGCTAATAATGCTTTTGTGATTCTTATCAATTCTAGATCTGTGCAACTGTAATCATATCATATCTTTGTATCTGTGCATATTATACAGTGTTTAAATTGCGGATCTATCGGTATTACCATCTGGACCCTCATCATATGACCGATGAAAATAGCTTATTGTTTAGCGCTATGTATGTATCAAAGCTTTTTCTACATGAAATATATGATTTGGATTTTATATAGAATACGATTAAAAAGTGGATACCAAGCTAATTTGTATCGATGTATCTTATGTTTCATTGCAATGCTAATTAATTATGTTTGTGGTAAGATGTGAAATCAATTATAGCTTACTATGTCGCTTAACTCCACCAATGTGTCTTAATGTGTTGGGAATGATTCATCTCGACTCACATATTACTTCAGATGCAGAATTTGGAGTCGAGACACAGTTTACAAAAGTAGGTTTTGCCTTCGTAAAAATGTGACGGTTTTTCGTCAATCTAAAAAAACTGCTAAGTTAATTCCTCATATAAATATTGTTATTTGCACGTAACTTGGAAATACTTGAGTTTTAAAAACTTTGAGAAGTATTTTTGCGCATACTACAATGTTAATGTTGTTTCCCTGTAATTTTCAGTGAGTTGAAATGCAAAATTTTAAACTCTAGTATGAATAATTTGGCTTTTATTCAGCGACTTTTGAGCTGCTTCCTCCGTGTTTAAAATATCTTTTGCAGTTGATGGGCCATTTAGATTTAATATCAGTTCTGGCAAAAGGCATCAATATCTACCTTCCCATTCTAATTGTTTTGCTCGCCTTGGGAACTTGGTTCAGGTTAGTTTGTCTATTCGCTTTTTATTTGGAAAAATAAATAATAGAAAACAAAATAAGATAATCAAATCTTGTTTTGTTCTTTATTATTTATTTCTCATATTTTCCTGATTAATTCAAAACAAACTTTATTATTGTAGATTGGGAACTCGATTGCTGCACTTGCTTGGCATCGATCAGTTTATTGACGATGACGAAATGACAGTGGAATTGATTAATGGTGGAAAAGCTCGTGTTTCGTTAGGTAATTCTTTTCATATATTTGTAATTTCAAAATCCTAACACATAATTTCTTCTTTGCTAAAATTGAAGATAAAAGCTCGCGTGGTTTTAAAATTTTTGGAAAAAATTCTTGGTATTCTATTCAGTTGCAGTTTAAAGCTGTTGAGCTTTTTTCATAGAGATTATAGGGTCCTTGTATGCAGACATGAATAGAAAGTATACTGCATACCACGTACATATTCCTCGTACTTCGCATCCTTTGCAGAGCGTAATAAGATAATGCGTGCTGCCTATCGCGAAGAAAGAGATCAGTATTGGACGGAAAAGTTGACAATGAAGACAGCTTCAGGTGAAACTTAGATGACTTCATTAATAGTTTTATTTGGATAAAATTATCGAAGTTTAGCTCCAATTTTTAATAACATCAATATAAACTTGAATGCTGGTATCTGTGGAAATCTAATACTATTTACGAGCATAATAAGTATCTAGTTAATCATATCGGTATTGATTTTAGTTTGTTTAGATTTTATAAGCACACTGTAGACTTTTTGCTATTTCCTGTTATGTAATTGATTTTTTTGCACTCGTAGTGTATTTGAAAACTATTTCGTCATGTTGATGTTGGATTCTCCCTTAGCTTCTTCGCTGGCCAATCAGTACCAATCGAAATTCCAGATCATGGAGCATTTAGAAGTGAAATTGGTACTTCTCAGTCAGATTATCGGTTTTCAGACACTCGCGAATACAGTGATCGTGAGCCAATCATGGCAGATGACAATGGAGAAGAGTATTCATCATTCAATTTAATCAGTAGTGGCGGTTACGAATTTTCTGGTGCACATCCTCCACCAAATATGTTTGATGATCTTTGATTTTTAGATATTTTCTGAGTTTTGTGAGAATATACTTTAGTGACGTAAATATTGTCTGCTATTTTAGCAAACAGATTTATTTGTCTTATTCCAGAAAAAATGTAAGATTTTGGTAAATTTTCTTTGGGAACTTTCATATTTCATGCTTTCCTATCCAAATTTTAGCAGTATTTCTAAAAACTCTTACTTTTCCAATAATTTCTATACTGTTAGAATTTCATTTGTTATTTATTTAATTTTATCAATTCTAGCTTCTCTATAGTCTAATTTTTTTGAAATTTGTGATTTTCGAAGCCGAGGAAAAGTTTGGACTATCAGAAATTTTGAAATATTTAATAAATGAAAGAGTGTTGAACCTTTTTTCTTGGCTTATAAAACAGCTTTATTTTGTTGATAAAATAGTATGTCCTTCCTTTTTCTTTTTCTTTCTTTAGGTTGGTTCGATGAAACTGGTTTGTAGAAAGTAGATAACAAATTTTGATTTGCTTTGGTCTCCGATTCGAAAGTATATTTTATAAGAATTCGCATCGTATCGAAATGTCATTAATAAGAATTGTTTCATTTTTCTTTTCTATTTATTTGATAATGAGAATGTCCATATGCTTCATTGATCTCTTTAATCTTTGTATATTCCTTACAGCTTTCGATATTTTTGTTCGCACTGATACTTTCATGAGATTAAAATTATGTTGGAAAAATCATTTCCGAACTGTATCTTCTTCATTAATTATATTAAATAGTATTGCTTATCAGTTTCGTTAGCTTGCAAGTTGCTCGTTCAATTTCAATTAGTTTGTAAAGTCTCTGTGCTTTTTGTTAATTTCAATAAAGATCTTTAAGAAGTTATGTTTATACCTGAATTTCTTTGTTCAGCTCCCTTCTCAATATCATGTGCTGCTATCACTTTCTATCATTTGATTTTTTATAAAGTGGTCGGACTTTATTAGAATTTCTTTATTAAGTTTTTAATTACACTTTCGAAACATTTGAAACATTGGAAAATAATTTAAAATAATGATACAGGTCCCAGTTTCAAAGTCTTTTCTAGTTGAGGACAGTATCTATAGTGTAATGAAGTATTTGCTTCATTTTCTTTACATAGATTTTATACTTCTTGGCTACTTATCTATATCGTGAATTAGTGAAATATCACAAGATTATCTCTAGCTATAATTTTCCATCAAATAGGTAACGCAAGGATGAGCTTGAACTAACGTCTGGAACAGGTGATTTGTTATATCCTTTCTGGTCGTTAATGTATTTCGTAGATACGATTACTGACTTCTGTAGTTTTCATTGCAGATATGTTTGAAGGATTATTACTTTACCCAACTTTGGGTTTTAATTTGCTACGTAATTATCTACAGCCAGTAAAATGGGCGTGGTATAATCGTATCGATGATGTCATAGTACTCGGTGCACTTCCATTCAGGAGTATGATTAAAGAACTTATTGAAAAAGAAAATATTGGTGCCGTTGTTTGTTGTACGGAAGGTATGTGATTTTCGAATTTTTCTATTAGAAGTATGCTTTTTTTTTAGTTTACTGACTATATTAATTCAAGTGTGGTAAAGCAATGATTTAGAATGATTTCTTTTCTAAAATCTTTAGCAGTGGATATTCGTGATACCCATTCTAATTTATATATTACTTACTAAACTAATTAATGCTGCAAATTTCTGTCACAATGTAGAATATGAGATGCAAGCTGTTTGGAAAGCAGTGGATGAGAAGAATTGGAGAAAACATGGTGTAGAATTCTATTCATTACCCATGGTCGATTTTGTGGGTACAGCATCTAGAATGTCAATCAGTAAAGCTATTAAATTCGTTGATGAAATCGCACAACGCGGCAAATCAGTGTAAGTAATGATTTTCTTATTTTCATTCTATAGTAGGGTTTTGGTAACATTTCCTTATTTTCTTGTTAGATTTTTCGTAAACAACAACAGAGAGCATGGCTATTTTAATTTAATGTCATATATCTTTTGAGTACTTAAATATGGTTAGGATGATTAAGATTATTAATAGCTCCTTATTTAAAGAAAAAAATTAAATATTTTCTAGATATGTACACTGCAAAGCGGGTCGAACGCGTAGCGCAATGTTTGCTACATGTTATTTGATGCGTAAGAATGGTTGGTATCCAAATGTAGCTTTTGAGTACATCAAAGTGAAACGACCGCAAGTAGTACTTGGAAATGCTCAGTGGCGGACAGTTAATGAATATCAGAGATATTTAGATCACAAAACTGGGCTTGCTTAAATATATTTTTCAAATTCCCGAATCTGAAATTTTTTAGAAAATTTTGGAGTTGTAATTATATTATTACTGACTGCTGCGAAATGCTATATAATTGTTAACTACTTGCTAAATGTCCAAATATAAATTCTTACATTGAAGTTTTCTACAAGAAATAAAAGTTTCTACAGGAAGTAAAAGGTTTTCACGGAAATTATTTGGTCTTGTTTATTTGAGTATCTCGAAAATGATAATTTAGCGATAATGTAAGCATATATTTTTTTACTTCTGTTCTCAAATTTACCACCTTCCTGATTTTCTGATATAAATGAAAGTTTTTTGTATTCCTTTCGTTTGCTTCATCACTTGTAATTATTCGATCGCTATTCCAAATTACAAATTTTCTCTTAATTTAAATTATGTTGTATAATTCGGTGCTTTCTCAAATACTTCTGCTAATTTCAAAACTTTTAAAACTTGTAGAGTGAGTAACTGAAAAAAGGAATTTTCAATTACTTTATTTTCGAATTCATTTAAAGCAAAACATATTCTTTCTTTAAGAAAAAATTCCGAACATTTCACAAACATTTGGAAGAAATATTCGGAACACTTGTAATTAGGCTTAGAGAGAATATTTGTCAAAAACTTTTTGATTTCCTGCTGCCTATTTCCAAAGAACTCTGGAATTTAAATATTTGTGCGAAAATAAAATCTTTGTTAATGAAACTTGTTTAAAATGATGTTTGTCCATCTTTTTGAGTAATTATCAGGAACCGATGCTGAGTAGTTTAGTAACCTATTTCTATTAATTATTTTAGCGCAATTTAATGTTTATTCATCATTTCAAATGGATCTTACTAATTTTATTGCATGAAGTAAGGTGTGCATATTGGTTTTTTGAAAAAGTTTCAGTCTATTTTCTGATTTTATGCATTTAATGATAGGAATGATTATATAACTTTTAAAAGATTTGATTATTGTACCTGGATGGTTAACATTGCTTTTCATCAACTTCGAGTTTTATGCTTTTGGTAGCATTTCTTTTAAAAAGCTATTCTTATTACATGCAAAGTTCTTGAGCGATGAATTCGTTATAGAAGTGATGGTCAAAAAAAATTGTAGAATTATAGATTTTGAACGTAATAGAGATAATGAAGGTATAGTTGAAAGAAGTAGAAAATGATCTAAGTAAAAACAGATTTTAAGCATTAATATTATGTAAAAGCGATAAAGTGGAGTCTTATATATTAACTTCACAAAATGCTTCTCATAACAGTCCATCCGGACAATTTATAGAACGAAAAATGACTACTCATAAGAGTCCATCTGGACAACTTATAGAAGGAAAAATGACCACTCATAATAGCCCATTTGGACAATTTATAGAGAGAAAAATAATCAGTATTTTATATTAAAAATGATTTTAATATAAATCTTCATTTACTATCTTCCGTATATATTTTTCCATTTATTATACTGAAAGAAGATTGGCGAATTTTATATTTTCGGAGATTAATTTGAAAGTAAATGATTGCGGAATTTTCGTATATGATAGGATTCGGTGCAGTGTTTTTTTTGAAAATACGGTAATTAATGAGATATTTTGGCTATCTTTTATTAACCTACAAAAATGATTTGTTAATTTGTGAATAAATTCATCATACTAATTAAGAGATTAATTAACATTCATTATACTAATTAATTAAGGGAGCAGTTTACTTAATTTCGATGAGCTGATTAAGATTTATAATTAAATTCTTTCTGCCTTCGGAATTAGATTATTTCCTTCATTTAAAATTTAATTATGGAAGAAATTTGAATTTGAATTAGCAAATGCTTGGAATGAAAGTGTAATGGCCGAAGGTTTTCCCTTGGCTGTTTTGGCTATTACATAATTATTAGTCATCATGCTATAGCAGCTCATTCTCTAGGGCGCTTCTTCGGCGGAGTGCACATCATTAACTATAATTTCAGCAATTTTTCTAAGCGTATTTTGGGAGCAGTTTATAGGCGGTTTTGGCATTTATATTAAATTGACTACCCGATCAGATGACTTATAGCTTAATAGATTAATGTGAAAATTTAAGAGTGGCCAAAATTCCTTTTGTTCTATTTTCAGCACGATTGCAAGAGTTGAAGATCGTTCTTCGACTTCCACTTCTAACCAGAATTTCTCTCTGTTCAATTATTCATTTTTGGCTACTTATCGCTTTAGAGTTTTTAGAAAGATCAATTTTTAATCTTAACTATCTTATTCTATTATTAAAATAAAGCAATTGCCTAGTGTTTAGAGACAAAGATAGATAGAACCATCTGCTTGTTGTTCAGTGTTTATATTCATTCTGATTGGTTTTGCTTTCCTCAGATCACCGATACAAATACTACTCCTTCATCATTATCCAACAGAGACCTATGAAAGATGCTATTGCTATCCTACTATGTTGGCTTGTTCAATTTTTACCGATTTCTGGTTATCGAAAAAATTTATTTTGTTATTTTTATTGCTTGTATATGTACATATATAATATGTATGTGTGTCTATGTCTGTGTCTGGTTTGTGTTTCTTCATTCGTTGTATTTTAGCTTTAGCTGGCAGTTAGAGCCATTGATTGTGACACCCTCTACCAAAAATAATTTAATTTTTTTTGAAGTTCATTTGAATTTCTTTTGACAACAACTGTTATTGATAGATGCTTCTATATCCAAAAAAGCATTAGTCAAGATTGCTTGTTCTTTTTTAGCTTCATATTATATGGTA